GTTAAAAATTTGGAGTGCGTCTAATAATTTGGCCAGGGACTGTAATTTGATTTAAATCATGACAGCTATAGTTAAAAATAAGATTTTTACTTTCTCGCCTTACGAATTCTTCGTAAGAAGAGAAAGTTATGTAATTGTACGGCGGAAAACTGCGAATTTTCGTCAGAAAGTCTTATAGCCGGGCTGTGGTAACGACGAAGTTGATAAATCCTGCTGTTTAATTTAGAAATAGAACTCTAACACGTGGTGTAGCCAGAATCCATGTTTTGTTTGTTCTTAATACCGAAAACTCGATTGACGGCCAAATGTCTGCCCGTGTGTGGTAAACGCTAGCGTCTAAAACGGTCAGCAGATTTTCTCCAAAATTTGTGTTCCCCAGTCGATCTGGCTTTTGTCGCGGCCCTTGGAATTTGAAACCGATTTTTTAAATTTTGGGGTTCTTGAAGCCCCTCGGACATTTTCGAAATATTCAAAAAATGGCTGAAAACTTTTGTTGTTCGATAGTGCGAAAGACGTTTAAGAGAATGGTGCAGGTCTCATAACCTGTAATATAAGCGATTTTTCGAAAATTTCTTACAAAAAACTACAAAACTGAGGATAGAGATTTTTAGGTCAGACTATTGTACAAAATTAGGTCTTAATTTAAAGGCCATGTACAATTTTTTATTAAAGTTAATAGTTTTTCAGTCAGGTCGTGCGATCGTGTTTGTCAGACGGCTGGGCCGGTGCTATGAATTCAACAACCCGAGAAGTGCGCGTCGATGTGAGCCGCGCGTCACGATAGTGCATCGCTGCACTGTCGTGTTGCATATCACTTCCTTTGGTTACAACTGCAGGGGGTGGTGATTGTATGTACATCCTGTTGCGGGGCGTTAAGGACACGTATACATGTCCTGGAGAACATGTGGGAACGTCAGGTACGCGTAATCCAGGTGATCCCGACGATTCGTGCGCCCATAATGTCGTTCCATAGATTATCCAACACCCCTGGTTTCGGTGCGTCCGCTTGTCTTGGGGATTTTCTTGTGCCTACTAGTGGCAATTAAGACTCGAGTGCACATTAGGCACCGCCCCTGTGTTATCGCGATCTCATCAGTCCACAACTCGCGTATGGTGAAGTTGCAGTTTACCCGGCTCTCGCAATGTCCCATTCGCCGAGGATGCTTATCATCGAATAGGCTTGAACTGGTGAAACGGATGCTGGCCGTCTTGCCGCGTTGTCATACACGGCACCCCCAACTTTTGGGCAAGATCCCTTACACTTTTCGTGGGAACTCACTGCTCGGGGCCCCTCATTCGCACACAAGCAGTAGTTTTCTTCGGGGACTTCTGCATATATGCTTCTGTATAATATATATATGTATATATTATTTGAACCTCTCGGGATAGTTCTAAGAACAACCGTCTAAACATTATAGAAGAGAAATCAAGAAAACGCCGTGCAGCAAGGAAGCGTTTCTCAAGCAAATGACATTAGAAACACTTTCTCATCTATTTGAGAATACTGATTTTTTTTATCCTAAAAGGTCGCATTGTGAATAATTTCTCATAGTCACCATTTAGTATCTGATTCACTTGTAAATATAGTTATACCTCATCATCCGCGAATTCGCTATTCGCGAGTTTCGAACGTTCGCATTGCAGATAAAGGTTCCCACAGATCGGCGCGGAAGGACAGCAGTGGAAACTTCGCGTCATTAGTTGCTTTATGAGCACGTTGAGACCTGCGCCGAAAGCGAGCGTCGCGGCAGTGGATTGACTGCGTTTTATTCCCAACGGATTTTGGAACGCAGTCGGTCGCGTTTCGACCGCTGCCGCTCGAGTTTCGTGGGAAGTCCGCCCGTCTTCGGAAGTCTTCGCTCCCCTCTGGCTCGTGCTCCCCTTGCCTTTGTTTATCGGATTAGGAAAACTGTTACCAAACGCTGAGTTACAATTGATGCTCCGGCGTGAACGGTCCAGCGGATTCCGCCGCCGCGTCTAGCTCGGAACCTCCCGCGCTGCATCCGCTGCGGATCTCCCGTGCCGCTCTAGAGCGCCTACGCTGCCGGTTTTGACATCGACTACAACTTTCGGTAGGGCATCATTTTGTCGGACTATATTTTTCTTAAAAAAAAAAAAAAAGGCCTATTTCAATTTCTACAAAAGCGTCATCTAGGAATATGACTCGGAAGCATTACATTTTCCAAAAATGTCAAGGTGGAATTTCATTTCAGGTTAATAGAATATTTATGTAATGTTAAGTAATTCAATTCAGTTGCCCCAAATTGGAGGTAAAGGCTTGGACGACATGAACAGAAAATCCATTCAGGATTTGTGCTACTCTGGAGTGGAGCTGCGGGAAATCATCAGTGAAGAAAACCATCTCCAACGTGGTGATAAAGTAACGGAAGCGAAACTGCGTTCTAGAGCAACTTCATTGTCAAAACTGTTAATGACGTTCTAGAGCTTGAGCACGCTCTTGTGGGAAGGGAATTCGAATGCGACCCGAAGTTGGAAATGAGTTCGAAATTTAAGAGAGAAATACATGCACCAACTCGTTCCGTATTTGTAGATTAAGGCAATGATGAGGTCGATGAAACAAACAATAACCAAACACTATTTCCAATCATTTTCAACTTTGAAATAACGTTCAAATATTGTTTTATTTCTTCTCTTTGGGTTGTTGATGGTGAATTCCGTTTATTGTAGTGCTCGTTTAGTTCTACTGTAATTTGTCAGATTTTTCTTTCCTTTTTAAACAGTTTTTCAATATCCAGGAACCTAACCCGTATATATTCATTAAATTATAGATTCAACACTTGCCGATTTAACATTTGCGATGTTTTGGAGAACTTAACTCTCGCGAATGTTGAAGGATTACAGTATGTAGTTGTACGTGTCGAAAATACCTGCATTTAATGTTTTATTAAAGTAATCACGACATTCGCAATGAATTCAAACAATTTTAATTTTACTTATTTAGGTGTAATTAGTTTTTTTTACGTTTTTAACTTATATTGCTTCAGTTCGTTTGGGGGCACTTTTTACAATCTCACTCTATTATCACCCAAGTGGATTGAACTTTATAGAGAACATCTTTTCGAAACCTGTGGTAAGACAGATCGGTAAATAACTCGACAATTTGCTTCAAGGAGGAGAAATCTGGAAAATAACGGGAAAACATATTCACCTGACCAGGGAACACTGTCTTGGAGGCTGCGAGATAGGCTGCTCGTTTTAGTACTTACGTAGTAGGGTGTAGTTAACTATTTCCTCTAACATGTGTAATCGAAATTCATGTTTTGTGGGTCTTGATAACGAAAAAATTGGTTGATAGCAAAACATATGTTTGTGGACAGCGCTTAAACCATTCAGATGATTTTCTGCAAATCTAATATTCCTCGATCGACCAGGCCGAACTCAAGACCCAGCGAGTTTGAAATATCTGCATGTTGCGAACTGCTTCTACACAGTTTGTGCGGAAGGCTTAAGTGTAAATGCAAAAATTATTACTTTTAACCACCTCCTTCCTTTTCTTCCTCATTGGCCTTGTATGTGTGTGCTAGACGCCCACCAATGTGTTTGCTGTGCATGGCAACCCTTGTTGAAGGGAATGCATGACCTAGGGGTCGAGGGGTTTATGGTTGCTCGCCAGAATACCGCCTTGACGCTGGAATCTTCGATTAGACTCCTTACTCTTCGTTGTACGAACCCCAGCGAGTCGGGGAAGGAAAATTGTCAAGGCCGAGAAGAGGGAAATGTAGATCTAAACGGTTTCTTCTGTAAAGACTCAGATAAACCGACTAATCCATGTTTTCTTCTTATGAAATGCACCAAAAGAGGCTCATCTTGAACTTGTCAGAAGGGAGCCATTGTGGAAACTACCATACAAAATTACCATCTCATTCTGTTGAATACAGGCCTCCACACCCACTTTTCAGTTGCTACTGGAACTTTTTCATGTGGAAATTTAGCCATCCACAGCTAACCCCTTGGCCCAACCCTGAATTGAACTGTCCTCGATGATTTACATGGGAGTTATCACTACCGAGCCTTGTTGCATATCAATGTTCTCGTTCCATCTCCCACTCCACCTCTTACTGGATATTCCAGGAAGCGGATTGGCTTGAGTGTGAGAGGTCCTTCTGCCTAACTGATGGTCTTTTCGAGAACACAGACACAATGATCTCCCATTACACTGATGCTATCCCCTCAACACCATGGTGCAACTCTGATTGTGTGAATGCAGTCTAGACTCAGATGAAGGCACTAGCAAGGTTGAACTATTATCCCACTCTTAAAAACTTCATAGGATACAAACTGTCAAGAGCCCAAGAAGTTATGCATTTAAGCAAATCCGCTTCCTGGAGAGCCTATATATCTTTACTTACGTGTCCCCCCCCCTTCTGAATGCTGTGTGTATCAAAGGAACTCGCTCTTCATCTGCTGGACAGTTAGTAACCTGGACAGTTAGTAAATACGCAGTTGTAAACCTTACCTGATGTAATAATCTATGAAACTTGCCTCCCATTATGATGTTGAGCTCAACTTGCTCAGATTCTGTTAATTCTTGGTGTTCCTTATCCTGTGCCACAAGGCGCGAGGAAGTAATTGTAACTCATTTTCTTACCAGCCTATTTATGTAATACATCCTCCTATACTGTGGACAGTTTGTTGGCAGCCACCGTAGACATCTGGGCAAGTGTTGAACCTTCCAACATTTCCGCTGTAATATTTGAATACAGAATAGCGTATTGAATTGTTTATAAGCTATTGTCATTTAGGAAGTGTTGTTGAAAATAACAAAATAAAAGAATGTATAGAATCATATCTGCATTGATTTCTTTGTATTATTTTTGTTAACTCTAACTTAGCATATATTCGTATTATTTAAAGTAGTTAATAAAAAATTGTGTTTAAGTTTTTATAAATATTTTTATTGTTTAAATATTTAACTAAACAGGTTTGTTATAAGTAGTGTCTCAATTATTTTAACTCCAATTAAATTTTTTGTTTTACAGGCTTCTACATTATCAGATTTTGAGATACAACACAAAACTCCATTACAGAAGAGAGTTGTGAGTATATGTTCGCAATACTTTTTTACAATGTTCTGTGTCCTCATATGTGTCTTTTTTCTTTCTTTTACCTCGGTGGGCATTGTAGGATCTCAAACACGGTCAGGGGGTAGAATATCAAATGGCAATCAGAGCATACAATAATCTGTGCGTAGCATCTACACACATTTTCGCATTTTCAAGTGGCAATTACTGAATCAAAAATCATGGTTTGGAAATAAGTAATAATAAGTACAACAAAATGTACTTATAGATTGTTAAAAAAAAAAAAAAAAGTATTCAGAAAGAGGAATGCTAATCGTCTGTTGAGTTTCATGTAACCCAAGAATTTGAAGCAAGCTACAAAAATGTTTGTAATGTATGTAAGGCTACTATTGGAGCTTTTACATATGACTCCAGTTTCATGATAAGAAGTGACTGCATCATTAGGTGTTTTGTAATCAAGTAGTTTTAATAATTATATGCCTCTTTCTTCATAAAAAAATTAAATATGAACTTACAATACAAAAGTAAAGCAAGATTTAAAATTAGAAACACATTTGAAATTTAAATACAATATCCATAAAAGAAACAATAACTGTATGATTTCAATAAAATCGTAAATGGAATATAAATATGGTAAAACCTTTTGACAAGACTACCTCTTTAACACGATCATCCCATTTTGAGACCAGGTTTCTATGGAACGGAATAATTATTCCACAAGGCCAATGTATTTTTACGCTCTTAACGTCGACCATCTCTGTTCCTGACCAACGACCATGCATTTTTGTCGTAATGTAACATCGCATTCCTTTTAAAATGACAAGAAAACCTCGCGTTGAAATAATAAGCCCAAGAGTTCGCGTACTACTGTGAGCCAAGCTATTTCTGGTGTCTTTCAAATGAGAAGCAGGATCAGGTGCATGAGGTTTCATGATAACTTAAAAGGCGAGACCTTCCAGGAAATTTAGAAAAACTATTGTGTTACAAAGTTGAATTTTACAGAAACTAAATTCAATACCCCTGGATTACGATAATTCGGAGACCGTCTTATGTCAATAACCCATTGCCTGAAGGAGGAGAATTCTTAAAGTACTGTGTACTTTTTTTTGGTAATCATATTAGTCAACAAATACATTTAACCAAAGTAATTTCATATTTAATGATGCTTTACAATAAAACTTTTATTTGAAACCAGAATAGTGTTATGTTGTGTATCATAATAGTTGCAGCAGCAGAGGTGAGTACAGTTTAATAGTGCGATATGCTCTTTAAGAAGACCACTCCTATAAGATGAATTTTACAGTATTAATCATACATGGTCGGCTTAAAACTGTATATAAGTACAAAGCACACTTTGTACCTCAGACAAAGAAAGGAAAAATACGTTTAAAAAATTTCAAGTGAAAACAATACTCAAATAAAAATCAGTGGAAAGTACTCTTAAGGGGCCTTGAGGGGAGGGGCTAAAAAGGAGGACAGGGGAAGTAAGATGAACGAAAGCAGGGGATAAATAACCAATATAAGATAGTCGGAAAACATAGGACAATCCACTTCATTATTTCCTGGAATGTAAATTAATTTTGTTCAGAATTTGTTTCGACGATGTTTCATGTATAATATGTGTGTCTGCTTGTTTTTGATATGTATTTTGCTTCTTTTCTTCATGTTTATAATTTTCTTTTACATCAGAGTAATTTCTTTATATTCTATTGACATGTTACAACACAACATTGGTTTTAGTAACTTTAATAGTGAATTTCATTTAACAAATAATGATGATATGATGTTTCTTCTTTAGTCAGGAATACCAAAAGCTCTATATGGAGGTCGTCATACAGTTACTATGTTACCTGGCAGTGGTATTGGCCCTGAAATGATGAACTATGTGAAAGAAGTATTCAGGTAACTTTTTAATGTAACTATTTTTGTTATTTTTAAAATAATTATCTAGTATTCATCAAGTTAAGTTGTGAATTTGCAGGGCTAAGATATTCGTTATAAGTGAGGCTTGTATTTTAAGAACGTCATTGTAGGCTTTCACATATATACTAACTACATATTATACTACTACATACTACTATATGTATATGCATATGCATGCCTGAAAATTGAACTTCTTTTCCAGATTTTACCTCAACTAATTAGGTTATTTGTCAAAATTAATTAATACAAATTTTCTGCATGGCAGATTGTTCTTTTAGTTACTACAATTTTTGTTGTTATTTCTATAAGAATTCTCTTAAGTTTTGTTTGGATGTTCTTCAGGTATGCTGGGGTACCAGTGGACTTTGAGGATGTCCAAATGGATGCTACAGCTGAAAGCAATGAAGATTTGGAATATGCTATCACTTCAATAAGAAGAAATGGAGTTGCTATAAAGGGTAATGTTTCTAGAATTATGTTTTCGGAATTTTTGCTCTTAAAATGAGTTGATTTTCCTGGAACTATGTAGTCAAGTCACATATATTTGTCACACAATTATTAATAATAAAAAACAAAATGAAACAGGCAGCCTCTTATTAAACTGGTAAAGTAGGATTTAACAAATACGGTAAGTGTGGCACATGCTTATTAGAAAATAATTGAAAATATTAAAAAAATTGCATCACTGAGCAAAGTGGCTTAGAGCATACCATGGTGACTTCACATTCAGGAGGCCGGGCTTCAATCCCTGTGATGGCCATTCTGACCGGGATTTTTGAGGTTTCCCTCTGTCACCCAGGTGAATGCAGGAACGGTTCTACTGAAAGGTCATGACCACAATAATGGCTTTGCTAGCGAATTCGTTAACTGTGTAAAGACACGAAGGTTAAGCAAATTCGAGAAATCATGGGTTCCTAATTGCATGACCATTAGGAACCCCGAGATCTAATGGCACAGAGGCCAATTGTCGTTTACTAGACATAATGGGTAAATGCAAATCACTGATAAATGTGCATAAGCGTGAGATTCAGATAATACGTAACTTCGTCCTTAGATTTAACAAGATACAGCTCAACCAAGTACCCCGTATTCTGCAGAGTATGATTAGTCAGAATGCTCCATTTGACTCGAACGATTTGGTCCGTCCGTGCAAACAAATTCATTTGTGAGTATAAACTTCATTCGGAATTCTAACAGGTATGCAAGTATCTAAAATGTTAGAGCTATTTAGACGTGATCTTAGTTCTGTGGACCACAGAGGTCATGGAAGAAGACCACTTTTGAAGTAGGAGACTTGACTACACAGAACTAAATGTTTGCACATGGACAACAAAGGGTTAAGGAAACTATTTTGTAGAACTGCAAGAACGAATCAATGTGTTTTGGAATTTGCATTTTAGGAAATGTTGAGACGGGGAGCATGAGGAGAGGTGTACTTTCCCGTAATGTGGCATTGAGAAATGAATTGGACTTGTATGTCAATGTTCTTAACTGCAAGTCATATCCTGGTGTGTCAGCTCGACAACAAGGTATTGACATTGTTATTATACGACAAAACACTGAAGGTGAATACGCTATGTTGGAACATGAGGTATGAGAACATTATTGTTATGCATATTTTTTGCTGACTGGTTAACTGTACGGACTTTTATTAATTTTGTTTGTATTAAAACTAGAGTGTTGATGGTGTGGTTGAAAGCATGAAAGTTGTAACATCAGAAAACTCTGAAAGAGTTGTACGCTATGCATTTGAGTATGCAAAGAGGGCTGGACGTAGAAAAATAACTACAATCCACAAAGCAAACATCATGTAAGTAAAATAGTTGAATTTTCTTATAAGAATGTTTTAATATGAACACTGTATTATTTGTTTACTGAAAGTATTGTTTTATTATTTTTAATGATGACGTAAGGTTGAAAGCCTAATGATTGGAGTAACAACTGGTTGCAATCTTTTAGCCCATGATTATGCTCATTTCTGCCAATCGTCAATCCTATTGGCAAAAATAAATCTAACATGACTTGTTCGATACCTAATTTAAACAACTACAGTAGTTTCAAGTTTGCTTAATTTACGTGACTGCAGAGTGCAGTTAAGCAATTCCGCTAGCCAAGATGGGGATTTAAGAAACAAACAAATTACCTAACCAAAATTTGTTATTAATCATTCAATTTTATCATAAATATGCAAATAGCTCCAATACGTTTTGGGAACTACTAAATTGTATCACTCTAGAACAGATTGTCAGAATTTGCGCACTAGATGCGCCAACACACACGGGCCACGTGCTGCTGTGCGGAGAGAGCTCTGCTCCCCATCACTTATGAACAGTGCAGTGACTGACTGAAATGGCTGGACAAAAAGTGATTTGCTGGGAAATTTGTGCTTTGTGGAATGAATGGTGGCCGTTTTCAAGTGATATTGTAGTGTTACTAGGCTTTAACATAGGCTAATATTTCAAGCATTTCACCTTCCTGTCATTAATGGTGAAAAATAAGCGAGCTCTCACTCTGCTTTACAGTTCCGGTGTTGCCAATCCTCCATTTCATCTCTGAAACAGCTATATTGTTTCTTGGAAAACAGTGACATGTACCGAAAGAGAACCACCAGCAGATGCTAGTAAAGAAACTGAGGTGTTTGAACCGATTAAAAAAGCTGACGGGCTGAGGTTTGTTAGCAGATACTAATACTACCACTGATACCTAAATGTACTTTTGTACGGAGAGCATCAAATGCCAAGGCTTCTTCTAGAGCATTCTCACAGTTAAGACTATTTAGTATGGTATGAAGAATTTTTTTTGTAAAGTGTGGGGTCAGTATGGGGTACTTCTATTAAGTGTGGGGGGTCAGTTGTTCAGTAAGATGGCTTTTCTGATGTCATCATTCCATTTTTCCAAATCCAGTTGACTCATTTATACGTCGGTCTAAAGTGGGCTGGTGTTGTGCATTAAATGGCCAAGCTACATTCTCATCTATGCTCAACAATGTTTGAAGTTATAGAATTCTATGTATTTTTATGGGACACTGCCATGGGATTTTTATGGGACAATTTCTTAGAATTTCAATGCTAATTGAAAAGAGAAGTTGCTGATATTTTGTGTAGATCAAATTCATCCTGAACATTCCTGAAAAATGAGTTGAAGTTGTTGACTTTCTAAAACTGGAGCAGAGTCTGTTGTTGAATTTTATATTGCAGTTTACATAATCTAGTTTAACAATTTATAAATGAAATGTTTGTGACTGAAAAATATTCAAATTATGATTTTAGCTGCTGACATAGGATATTCTGTGAATTCATCCGATTATCTGTCTCACACACAACACTCACTATGTCAGATGTTCTTGCTTTTGTGTGACTTTACGAGCAGATAGAGCATAATCAAAAGTTCATACAGTCAATTTTTTAAGGGTTTATGACAATTAGAACAGGAGTTCTGAACAAAGATATTATTTTGTACAGTCACCATTGGCCATTGGGTGTCACATGCAGGTGCTTCTCCTGAGGTGAAGAAAAAATGCAGACCAATAACATCAGCACCTTAGCAGCTCAAGTGCAGAAATTAGCTTACAGATTAGTTGATAGGGAACTACTAGAATGAATGCTGCATTTCAGCAGCTTTTCTATTTCAATGCCAGTTTTATGATCCATTTTCGTGTGGTTAAAAACAATTTAATTAGTAAAAGTCTTGAAATGTTATAACATCCTTTCAAATTATGATTTATAAGCTAAAATTTCAGAAGATTTGTAAAGTTGTATTAGGTCATTCCTGTGACATCCTTTGTTGATTTACCAATAAATCAATTCCTCGGAAAAAGCTTATAGCTCTTGAACATTACTTGTAGCTATTTAAAACACTGAGTTTGAAAAGACCCTCCAAAAAGTGAATGAATTCTTCTAAACATCAAAAGCACTACAAATTTGGACTCTATGCATTTTTTATTATTCATTATCTTATTAATAATAACCGAAAACAAAATAATTCGACACCAGTTATATTTGATAGTATGCTAAGTGTTTTGTATATTATATATTAAACAATAGTACATATTTGTATTATGGTGTGCGAATACAAAGTGAGTCACATAACTTTAGCACCTCCAGTAACTTTTGAATTGTTGAAGTTATTGCAATGCAGTTTTCACGTAAATGCATGAGGCAATGGGGCTAATAGATTCATGTATTCAATTCCATTTTATCACTTGTATTTTACGAGATATTGAGGTAACTTTGATTTTTCAAATGTAACTGTACATATTTTTTTGGCATATGGTCACAAGCATAAAAAGACAAATCCAATGATATACATATTATTACATGTTAGATGAACTTCCTTTTAATTTTTAAGTAATTTCGATTTTTTTGCAACTTGTGTTAAAATGATATTTTGACTTCACCCAAGTTCACCACCCAAGATCACACAGTGCTCTCCCCGCTAAGCGCACTCTGTTAAATGCGAGACAATAAATGTAAAATACTCAAAAAAAGGTTTATCTAACATAGAACAATATGTATATCATTGGTTTAGTCTTCTAACACTTGTAATTATAGGCTAAAAAATATGTATAGTTCCATATGAAAAAAGCAAAGTTACCTTAATGTCTCATAAAATACAAGGGATAAAATGGAAATGAATACTAGCCCCATTCCCTCGTGTGCTTCTGTGAAAACTGCATTGCAATAACTTCAACCATTCAAAAGTTACGGGAGGTGCTAAAGTTACGTGATTCACTCTGTGTATGTAAATAAATATAACACTCAGTTTGGTGTCCAGTGCTCAGGCAGCTACTCAGAAATCTATTTTTGCACTTCTGCAGGTGAGACCTCGCTGGTAGTTCTCCGAGTTGATCTCAGGTCATGGTCAGTGTTGGAAGTTGCATTGGTTTATAGCTTCCTCCAGCCCTTAATTGTGTCTGCCTAACGAGTGACAGAGACATTGCATCTCTTAATATTTTTGCTAGTAATTCTTCTTGTAATTGTCGAAAGCTCTTCAAAATTTACGTTTACGTCTGCAGTTATACACTATCTTGTCAAGATGTTTCATAAAAAACCAAGTGTCCAACACGGTGAGTGTTCCAACATGTTTAGTTTATTTGAAATACGTTCACAAAAGAAATAGTTAAACCTTTACTTGTAATTCAGATTATCACTTAGCCCTTCTACTCAGTGACATCCCCGGCACGTGGATGATTTCCATATGTGGGAGCAGTGTGACTAGTACGTTCATTGCAGGCTTTGAATTGTGTTGCTTTCTCTTGCAAGAAATGCAATCAAAAACTGTTTATAATGACCCTGAAGTGACTGACCATTTCAACTATTATAGTCCATAGTTATTATGAAGTTATATACATTTAGCCACTTCTGTGAAAGCCAGTCAGGAGCACCAGCTGCTTTGCCATAAATTTTTCCAATGGTGTTGTCATGACGAACTTAAAAACTTATCCAAGAAGAACACTTCACTTCACCGTATTCAGGCATTGTGTGAAGTTGTTAGCTTTTTAATCAAGAACTGGACCACTTCTGGGCATATTGCTTTCTCTTTGTTGTTTAAACAATAAAGCTATTTCAATATCCTTGTACTCAGAAGATCTTGCGTGCTTTATTTTTACCAAGTTTTGTTGTAAAATAGTCTTTATCTTCTCTCTTTTATTTTTTAGGAAATTATCAGATGGATTGTTTTTGGAGACTTCACGTAAAGTAGCGAAAGAGTATCCTGAAATAGAACACAATGACATGATTATTGATAACTGTTGCATGCAGTTGGTGTCAAAGCCTCATCAATTTGATGTCATGGTTATGACAAATTTATATGGAACTATAGTGTCTAACGTTGTTTGTGGTCTTGTTGGTGGTGCTGGATTACTTTCTGGAAAAAATTATGGTGATCATGTAAGTTTAATGTATATGGTGTATTTAATGAGAGATGGATTAGATTGCTGTTAACAATAGGAGTGTTTTCTTTTTCTCAATCTTTGCAGTATGCAGTATTTGAACCTGGTACTCGAAACACTGGTACAGCAATTGCTGGAAAGAACATTGCCAATCCAATTGCAATGTTGAATGCTGCTGTTGACATGTTGGAGCATCTTGGGCACAAATACCATGCAGAGATAATTTATGATGCTATTGAGAAGACAATAAATGAAGATAGAATTCACACACCAGGTAAAAATATGTTCTGCATGTTCATTAAATCATTAATTTACACTTTTGTAACAAGAGTTAAATTCTTTATGTAAATTGCTAAATTTTTACATGCAGTTTTCTATATCATGGCTATAATTGGCTTTCTGTCAGTCTGAAATATCTTGTTTGAGGATTACAGTTTCTTTGTTCGGATGTTAAATATTTTAATAGATTCTATAGTTAAAACATATAGTTTTAAATATTAAGACTGATAACCAGTGACAAACAATTTAGAAGGGAACAGCGTTATATTCTGTAGAATACTCGTGAAAAATCATGTGTTCCAGAGCGATGATTTTTGGAGATACAGTCATGGCCTCCAAATTCTGTGTAATATTTCTTTAGACAGAACTTGTCATGGGTACACTAAAGTATTGAGGATTGTTTGTCTTGCATAGTGTTATATTTTCAGCTGTAACATTGTTTGTCTGAATTGTTTAAATCTGTCCCTATGGGGTTTGTAGAAGTTTCATTTTTGTTAATTACGCTTTGATAATTTGTCAATTGTCAAGACACAAATATTTCATATTGAAAGAATGTTGGGGAATAAGAAAATTGGGATCCCCATTTAAGTTTCAAACATGGAACATGGAAGTGTTTTTTAAATGATATAAAGAAGAAAAGTGAACTAACCAATATTGCTTTGCTTGAATAGGGGAAAAAAAAAAGACACGTTTTCTCTCCAGAATGTTACTTTTCATCTCTTGATATTACTTCTTCACCTTACACTGTGCCCTGTGTCTTTTGTAATTTTTAATTAATAATAGTGTCTTTATGATTTTCCTCAACAACTCTTGTTGTTTCATTCTCGTATATTTATCTTTTCCTTTTGTTATTTCAATTACAGTTGTCCTTTTTTAAGTTCTTAACTGATTGACATTCTAAGAAATTGTTCTTGAGATTTTTTATGATTGAAGATTATTGTAAGAGTGTGTAGATTCGGATGCTATGCAATCTGAAACATGAATGAATGCTGTGGAATTGAATGAGTATGCAAGATTATAAAATTATGTTTTTATTATTATTATTATTATTATTATTATTATTATTATTATTATTAATAATAATGAAAATAAAAAACAACCACAACAATAGTCATATTAATGATCATCATGGTCATGAAGTTAGTTTCTTTTTTCACAAAACAAATTTAATTGGTGTTTGATTATTTAATGCTTGATTCATTTCTTTTGCGATTGAGAAAAATAAAATAGAACACATCATGACTGGGGTAGGTTTAGCACCATAAGAAATGCAGGTTGCTCTTTGTTTTGTGGCTTTGCTAAAAACAAACATCCTAAAAGCTGTACTTTTGAAATTTCACACTCGCCTCAGTGGATAATTAATACACACAAAATAAAGTTTTGGGAAAAGACAAAATCCAGATCATAATAAAAGAGGGAAAAAAAAATTAGATGAAATTTATTTCTTATGTTGACAAAGAAAAGCCAAAATGCAAAGAAAGAGTGAGAGAAGTAAGCATACATTTGAAATTAGGCAACTATTAGGACCATCTTGTTTACCGTTCGTAGGCTATGAAAAAGAACAAGAGTAAAGAAAAAAAAATGAATCTATTACCAAAAGTTAGATACAAATGTGGTTACTTTTCTACATAATCATGAATATTCAGACATTTTTTGTATCTGTGAATGATTTTTTCAATCTCCTCTTTGAAGAACATTACCAACAATGATCCAAAAGGGCCTATATGTTGCTATGAAGCTCCTAGCCAATTTGATTCAAGGATGAGATGAAAATCACTTGATGCTATACCCTGGATGATCAAGCTAGTCACTTTTCAAGTGCTCTAGAATTGTTTTTGTTGCAGCTGCAATGTGAGGCCAGGCATTGTCATGAATGAGGACAACTTCGAGAAGTCAGCAGTCCTTTACATTTATTTTGAAGTGTACACAAATGTATTCAACTCATTTTTCGATGATATTTTTATGCAATATTCCCTTATGCGTGAAGATAGCAAACAACACTTTGCAGCTGTGACTGCACTTTCGCCTATATGGTGTCAGTAGTAGCAAAGGTTATTGTGAAAGAGATGCATCATTTTCCACTTCTCATCCTCTAATCCTCCTTGTGTAACTGTTCAATCAGGGCTTAACAAAGGGAGTAGGGAAGGCCTGTACATATTTGCTATTGCTTGTTGATGATAATGATTACTATGACAATAATAATAATGGTAACGAAATAGATCTAGAATACTTCATGATTTTTTTTTTTAGTTAATGCTCTGGTGTGTTACTGATTTGCCCTGTTGTTTCCAACAAATAAACTTAAGTATAATTTGCAAAAGAACAGCTACTTCCATCATTATGAAAATTGAGCATTTCTTTCCAAATTAGATTTGACTACTAATCAACTCTTATTGCAAGGACACATTTTCATTGTGCTGAGATGAGACCACGCAACTCAATAATGTATTCCTATTTATTGCAAACTGAATATTTTTCTCAAAAAATAAAATTCCTTTTAATTGACTCATTCTTTCTGAAATTGATTTTTATGTTTTAATTTCAGATTTGGGAGGGCAAGCAACAAGTATTGATGTTGTTCAGAACATAATCAAGCATCTTCAACAGAAAACACGAACATCTAACTGGTAATGTCTCCTCAACTCTCTCACATAAAGGACATTCGCATGCGGCTTTTAAAGAGCAATATTAGTTCGTTTGGCACTTCAAGTGTGACACGGAAAGAACCTGTGTGCATGAAAGTTACCCGGAAGACATATTTTTAGCATGGCTTTGTTTCTTTCTCTTTTCTGAACTGATTCTTTTGTATGTAGACGTTCCAGACACTAGTGGGAGTTAGTAGTGCAGGGAATGGAATTGAAGGTGAATGGAACAACTTCTTCTGTTTATTGATGAAAACTAGTATTTTAAATAACATTGTAGTATGCTGTACTATAGAAGAAGAGCTGAGTTAATTTGAAAATACAGAAGTGCTTATCTATACACAAATTACCAAGTACAATTCAAGTATTATTGCTAGTGAGTGTTATAATTAATGTGACAAATTTTTTTGCTACTGTAGAACTAAAAGCCTGACAATAATGTGGAGTTTTAAATTTCTCTCTCTCTCTTGACATTCTTTTTCTTTACATGGTTGGAATTGCTTCAGTTGTGTTGATATCTTTTCCATTTTTTATTATATCAATTACAAATTTGCAATTAATTTGTGTCAACATGATGCAGCAGCAAAATCCAGACAAAATTTAGAGTTTCCTTATATATGGATTTCTTGAACAAAATGTGAATTTATGAAAAATGTTCTTTAATTGCATGTCAGTGATCAATGTAGAATAAATATACCATTTACAGCTTAGTAGCCGTTACAGTCTCTAGTCTTTTGTGGAATAGACTGCATGCTTTTCAAAACTGCTCTGTCAAATTCACAGAATGCTGCAATGAGGAGTCAACAGGGATGCCACTTTGGTGTGGTTGGACTTGCTGGTGTCCCTTTAAACAATGCAATAGCCACACAATAGTCCAGGGGATTAAAATTCGGATTTTTCTGATCCTTGAACTCCTTCAACCAGAACATGCTGATTTTGTCCATCAGCAAATTTTGCACCAAATAGCCTATGTGAGCCATTTCACCATCCTTTTGGATGATGAGTTGCCTTCCATGCACCAGAGACTTATCACAGCTTGACTACTGCTGCATGTACTCTTGTTTTGTGATTGTTACCACATTTTTAATGAAATCTGATGATGTGGCATCACTTTCTGAACACTGTGCCAAAGATTTACACAAGCTGGAAACTTCTTTTTGGTGATAGTTGGGTCATCATGTGACTAGCTTGCTCATATTTATAGAAATAATGTAATGTGAAAATGGGAAAGACTTGTGTATTTCCTTCAGCTTCAACAAAGATTGTGAGAAATGTAATACTGCCTGTGAGGCTTCTTCAGTTCAGGCCTCTGAGTACCCACTTAAGTCGTGCAGTTGACTCACAGCCGACATTGCATTCTGTGATCCCACAGCTGCACGGAGGAAGCATCTGGAGACTAGTTCAGTCCTTGTCTCAGAGCACAGCACAAAATACATCAGCTTCATGCTGTATTTATTAACATTGAGTTCTAGTAAGAGTGTGCATATTGTAATGAGAAGAGAGTGAGTTTGTTAAATCACTTGAGGAGAGTAGTGTAGATATGTTACTTTAATATGTCATGTTTTTTAACAAAACAGCTTTCACTGAAAATGGAAAAGCCTTCTTTTATTAAAAAAATTGTAGGTTAATTTCTAGTTTTGTTGGAGGTTCCGCTTTCTAAAAAAGGGTACATTCTTTAAAATGTGCGTAACCTAATCAAAATTATCATTGTCACAGAAGATTATAAAAAAAACCTCAATAATTTCAATGTTTTTGGTACAGTGCTTCCTGGCACACCTATGGTTGCCTGGAATTAATGTAATGAGAATCTTATTTTGCTGACCTTCTTGGAATGTAAAGCCTTGGGCTACCATTGCTAGAAAGTTGTATTGCAAGGACCTCTCTATTTTCTCACAACCTCAGAATCTGCAAAACTTTCATTATGTACAACTTTAATCACAGGTCCTCCAAAGCAGTGTGGGATATTTTAGCCTTGCTTTTGCTACGACTGGCACCTATGTGCAAATTAATATTTTCTCTGTCCTCAGAATTGAGGTGTTCACACCACATCTGGGACTTGCAAACTTCTTTTAACATTAAATTTAGCTCACATGCATTGTGAATCCTTCCTGGCACTGCTCCAATGCTGCGAACCTTTCTGCAATGTGGTAGATGTTGATCTCAAATTCCTGAAAATTTGATTCTCTGTCAGTGATTGTCCATTGTAAAGCATTTTGATAACTGCCACTCAATGAGTATATTAAGAGTTTGTTTGCATCAGCTAAGAATATTTTGCTCATCTATCTGATACTCACACATGACCATGAACATTTGTTATTGTTCATGGTCAAATAACATAGAAAATTCAAATTTGTTTGGATTTTGCTGATACGCTCAGTAAGCAAAACAATTTCTGTAAATAGTTCCATCTTTAATTGGTTCGCATTCTATTTTTCTTCTGATGTACTTCACTTGAATCACACTGAACCTTTCCAAACTGCCAAAAACATAAAAGGTTGTGTTACTAAATTGATTATAATATCTGAATTATAAAATTATGAATTAAAAATAATAATTATGAATTACAAGCATAAAAATGCAATTTCAGTTTACTTTAAAAATTGTTGTGAATTTAATCATGATTGTGCTATTTCAAATGAAAGATTTGTGCTTTTTGGTAATTGGTGGTATTGTTATGTGAGTTTTGAAGTCCAGGTATTACACAGATCTGCGTAAATTTGCATAATATTTGTGGTACTGCTGTGAGAGGGAGAGAATGCATTTACATGGTCTTTTGAGAGCTTTACTTCACAAAGTATCCAATGTAACAATTTGTATAATGGCCTTAATATTTTTTTGTTTTGTTATCCTTATTTCTGTGCTGTTGATTTTTTTGTTCTGTGTCATAACAATCTAATCAACTTTCTGTTCCATGAACTTGCAAAATCCCATATGAAATTATTGCTATGGAAGATGATAACTATGAATTAGAACAATTGACCTTCCCCAGATGAGAATATTTACCATGCATTGTATCCTATGTCATACTCTGAGGAAACAGATTCACAGAGCAGTGTTTCATGCAGTAATAATTTTAACATCTCTGTGTTTCCCTCTTTAAAATTATATTCAGACAGCAGTTTTAATTTTCATTCAAATTATTTTAATATTTAAAATATAGTGTGTATAAATGAAAGTACAGAAGTTACTGAAACTTACTACTAGCATATTGCTAGAAAAAGTAATAATTTATATATCTTAAAGTCATGATTATAATTAATAAATTAACATGCTTGTTTTGTTTGCTTGATAGTGAAGTACAAGTAAGTTGAAGATGCAGGCCATGAATCTGAAATATGGCATGATTTGACATGTTGAATTTCGCAAGTAATTTTGCATAAAATATTTGGAAATGAATTTTTAATTTTGGATAACTGCTTAAGACAACACACTGATTCAAAAGTATTACGAGTTTAGAAACAGTTTTCCTAAGAAATGACTTAGGAATTTCATTCAAACACTTTGAATTGTTTTTGGTAAAATTGCATGTACCACTTATTTGTTTTCATTTTCTTCTTTTTACAGTTATTACTGTAATTTCACATTTACATCATCTGACACTTGGTATTAAATTTCCATTTAGTCTTTTATCCGTCGAGTCTGAATCTTCTAAGAATCCTCCTGGAGAATGAAACTTATTTATTATGATGAACATCAGAGGTGTCTGCAAAACAAGTCCTTTGGATGTGTACTCTCACATTCCCCTGGAACTTGCCATGTGACAAAGTAAAGGTGATTAAAACTGCGGAATATGAGACAATACTGACAGTAAGAATTAGGGCTGAAGTTTATATTGGGGGAATCTATGCAACATTACACCTTATTTGTTGAAATTATTGCCTTTTAAAGCATACTTAGTAAAATTGTAAATTTCATAACTCATTTGGCCAACTGAGGTGATTGAGGTATACTACACTAATGGCAACGAATAGGGTGAGGTTAGTACAAATAGAGGAAGATGAAAACAGGTATTTAGAGCACAGTCTTTTGCGTACCTAGGATTATAGTACTAAAGTCGAGAACTAGCCATAAGGCCAGAGCCTTGTCGAGAAATTCTAGATGCGTAGTAAAGCCTCTCTCTGCCTTACTAGTAATTTATGTAATTAAAATATGATTCATGAATATAACACTTTCTACTCTTGGGTATACATTTCACATATTTTCAAAGGTATATGTTCTGTTATGTTAGCTAAATGAATCTACATTTCACTTTAAAATTTATGAGGTTGGTACATAGGATGAACAAAAATGACGTTCATTCCCAGTAAATAAACTGCGCCCAGGATTTTTATTTTTTATTCCTCCTTTTTTTTCTTTCTTCAAAACTAGCATTCTCAGCATACTAGTAGATTTACAAGATTTATATTCATACAACGCATCATTGCATTTCAGGATATTAGGAATTAGAGTGTAAAAAAACAATGTAAGGGGAAAATATAAGATGTACTATATTTCTAATAATTTGATGTACTGTAAAGCAGTTTATTTAGTGTGAATTCTGAATCATTGTTTCACCTAACCAATAAGAATTTTAGTATTAATTTTTCCATTTCATTCCTCACAAAATGTGTCTTCTATTTTGTTATGCCCCATAAAATATTTTGCTTATGAACTATTTTCCAAGACATATATGAAGTATTTCAGAAACTGTTAATGTTTTTGAAATGTTGTTGCATTTTATATTGATGAATGAAGGAAATGAAAAATATAAATATAGGAAGTGTGTAAGTTGCCATGGAACAGAAAGTATTGAGATTTTTTGCTAAGACTATGATCGTTGCTGCTGTATATACATTCCACCTTGTAATCTAGCTCTTATTGTGTAATGTGTTTGTATTTCCTTTAAAAAAGAAGTTAAAACTACTTTTAGAAATAATATATTTGTTATTGTTTATTTAAAGATTTTTAGATTAAATTTCAAAGTATACTTCATTTGCTATTTAATTGAAGTGTTCATTTGAAATGTAGCTTGCTTGTGGAGTTTTATTTTATTTTTGTTTTGTCTTAGAAAAGCAAGTCTTCTAAGCTTTGTTACTGTTAACATATACCCTTCATTCAGTTTGATGGTCAGACTTCATAAAATTCAGACATACAAAATCCAGAACATGATGCGTCAGTTCTAAGATTAATATTGGATGAACTTTTTACAAGTTTTATGTGAAAAGCCATTACAGACATGCTCAAAAAATTTTAATTTTTATTGTTTGTGTTTTTGAAGAAATGTGTGCCATTAATATGAATGAAGGTCTACAGTCAAATTAAAAGAATGTGAGTAATCCTGTGCCTAATAATTGTGCCTGTTGTTACATAGCCTAGTCTTTCAGGTATCTATTACCAATATGTAATGTTTATTACAAAGAGTTTTATCCCTTTACTGTGTGTAGAGACTGATTCTGAAGCAATTTCACTCGGATGATACTTGCTTCTTTGTTTTTGTGTCAAGGTTTTTTATACAGCTCTTCAGCAAGCTGAATATTTTCATACTAGTCTATGTATTTAATATTGTCTTCTCTAAATCAAATAAATTTGTTATTTTTGTAATCCCTGATTTCCAGAAAGTACATTGAATAAGTAACATTTACTGAAGTTACGTTCATCCCAATTAATTTCTTTGATTAATTGAGCATTAATAGATGAAATGTTTGATTTCCTTTTGAAGTGTTGTGCTTCAAACTGCGATAATAAATTCAATATTAAAATAAATTTAGTCTATCATTTTGTGATTAGTATATGCAAAATAAAGCACATGGTTAATAGTTTGTGAAAACATACTGCATTACCCTGGAAAAATCAGTGAGATTTACACAATGTGCCTATTAAGTAAAAGGACAGCAGTTATTGTATCAAAACATTAAACAGACTGGAACTATATTTTTCGGTTTTACAAATTCAGAATATTTTATCCCTCCACCTCATGTTTAAATGTTATAAACATTTTCAATGTCAGGCCAGAAGTTCCAGTCAGTGTACATTGTTCAGTACTCTGGTTACATTGTACTGGGTGTCCTGAATACCATAGGATATGCTTCCCTTTCAACTTCATTTCACAAATCTAGTGATAATGTCATCTATCCAGTCACGTAGGTCACCTTATAGTCTAAAGGCTGTCTCTTAGCCAGCACCTTGTCTCGGAGTATTGCAGCAAGGACAGTGTTTTTGAAATAATACTATCATGAGAGGACACATGTAGGCTAAAAATCTTTGCTTTATTCTTAGATAATGTTGAATGTTCACTAAAGTGATTTGAAACAATTTTAGGATAATTACTGAAGCAGCTTTATTAAACATGATTAGTTACCTCGATGGGCGTGATTGCAACTTTTGGCGTTTGAGAGGTCATTTCATGGAATTTCTTGCTTTGAAGACTAGTTTTATCCACAGTGCCAATTTTTAGTTTGCAATACAATTTTGTCTTCTTTTCTCCATTTTAAAACAGTTGTATCCTCGCTTCCTTTAACTTTGTTCTAGATATGTATTAAATCATCCATCTATTACTCATCTCACAACTAAAAATTTCCCAATGTTCCCTGTACTGAACAGTTCATTTATCAAAGCCATGAACTTGAATAAATTGGTCTGACTATTTATCTGGCACACTGTGTAAGATGTCAATGTGAGTGGCTTTTTCTAAATTACACAGAGAAGTGAAAATAGTAGCACAAGCACAAAGAGGAGTCATTTCACAATGTTACTCCATTATATTATTCATTTGAATAGAGAGTTTTCTTCTAATCAGTAAGAGCTGAAGGAGGACATGCACTGTGATTTGATACCTAACTGCTCACTTCTTTCCGAAAAGAATATAGTGCATTATTAGAATTATGTTTGTATAAAGTAAATGAGAATTAATTGTATGTTCAATAAATATAAGACATGAAACTTCTTGTACTACTATTTTCTGAAAAATCTTTATAAATGAAGTGAAGACATATCAGATATGGAATTCATATATGTTCTAGTTGCACACTTTCACTTTCCTAAGACATTGTGTTTTTGGACTGAATACATTATAACATTTTCTGTATACATGTGTACAAATGTTCAGTTTTTGCACAAAAAGTTGGGAAAGGAAATACTTTGTACAATAATATTTTTCCATAAAAGAAAATTAAAGTAGTCATTACTTTCTGAATTTCATATCAGTAATTTGTAAATATTGATATATTAATGCATTAATATAACCGTATTATGTAACTGCAAACAGACTGAACATTTTATATATTTGATTCCACTGCTGAAGCAATGCTTTTTCTTAGCATTACAGCATAATACCTATGGTACTGAAGACTGTTTCGATATTATTTTTTTTGTTGTTGTTAGAATTTAGTGTAACACATAATGGGGGCTAAGAACTAAAAAACTAATTTTCAACAATATTTTAAGTTGCTAAGATGTGTAAAAATGTAAAATGCCTAATTAATACAACATATTTTTGATTTAAATTTGATTGGTTAGAAAGGCGATTTAATAGCATGAAAATAGAAAAATTAATAAATTGCTTTTGATATTTAAAAGCTTTAAAACTTTTTGAAATACTCTCGTTTAAGTGCCTTTTGTGACAAAGACATTGTAAAGCAGAACTTTTATGTTATTTGAAAATTATTTTTATTTAAAGTAATAAAATATTGAAATTAATCTTGTAACTGTCATAAATTCACAGAGGAGGCTGGGGCTAAGTGGTCAGCTGTTTTTAATTCAAATTTTCACCAAAAAAAAAAAAAAAGAGTAAGAAATAAGTTGCATCAATCCATGGAATGACTCTTTGCCTATGTTATCTGTGTCCATTTTGCCTGTGATCATGCAAATACATCACCTATTCTGTAACCAAAACTACAATACAAATTGAAACAAACTTTGTTACAGAAATTTAGGTCCCAAATTTGCTTCAATAATAATTTTTAACTCACTGTGGAACATTGAAATAAAAACACTATGAAATTGAATAGAAAATAGTGTATTGGGTAAAAATTAAATATAAAATTGGAATATATCAGGCTTTAATTTCATCTTGACTGCCATTCCTTCCTTAGGTCTAGCTGCAATAGTCAAACTAAAATTTAAATTCTTTCCCTTTAGATCTTCATTTTTTCAGCTGCAAATTAAGTGTACTATTGCTGCCGTAAAAATTATGCAATCGTTTTTCTTATAAAAACTTTGAACTTTTTGACAACTTGTCATATGTGTTGTCACACCCATTTATGTGGTGTGCACTAAAATTTTGCCTTATTTGTATTCCATGTGGATTGCACATAAAAATGATACCTCTATTATACATTATAAAGGTTATAACTGCATAAAAATAAAAAAATCCCCAAACCTTTTTGAACTTGCTGTGTGGAATATGCTTAGGATGAAGGAAAACAACTATATACACATCTTCTCCTCCCCCTCCCCCAGTTAATTTTTGACACGCAGTTTGAATTTTACATGCTTAATTGCAAAGAAATCATTAAATATTTTTATTTAAAATCTTTCAGAGGTATTACCACAGAAAAAAGTATGTTTTGTGCATATGTGTATTGAGTATTTTACATGCTTTCAATTACAAAACAAATTAGTGGAAAATCCTTCAAAATATTAAATTACTGATTTTTCACAATAATTAATTTTTTTTTCAAAATCATAATTAATATAAGAAATAGTAAACAAAATACTTCTGAAATACCTTCAGCGAGAATAGACTTATCTGTAAATGCTCCTTTGAGATGTATGACTACCATTGCGAACAATTGTAATATAGATTTGAATAGTGTATCACTAAATCAAAATTCAATCAAAAACTTATATCAAGGACAAAGCTCTTGTACTTAACTGACTTCAGATGTATACTGTTATAGCAATAGTATACTGTAATAGTGTTACATGTATACTTATTGTAAATTTGTTGTTTGCCTGTTAACCAATTTACAAATAAATAATTCGTTTTAAATTGAATTTGGACTGCTGGACAGTTGGACTGCTGCCGTTAAGTCTTTTGTGATAATAGTTGTTAGTGATTTTTATCTTTTTCATAAAGAAATTGTATTTTATTTTGGCATGATTTTAAAACAAAAATGGCAATTAAAGTAAAAGAATTAAATAATTAGTTGATATTGCAGATGTCCAATACTTTTTTATTTTGGTAGAACCTGTGAAAGTTTCAGAAATAACAAATGTTTTATGACTTTTCCCCAAGTTTTAGCAGATTAAATAATTCGAATTTCCCATGTAAAATTAACTACAAGTATTTTGTTTCTACTATTGTGTATTTACAAAGCCATTTTCACCTATACCAGGTGTTCAAACTATATTTATGGCATGTAGGACAAAAATAATTCTAAAGAATTTTTTTCTTTCGTACTGTTGCTTCATAGAAGAAAATGGAATTGTGTGCTGGCAATTATAGTAAATTGCTTCCTCTAATTTGTGTAGCCAGACCCCATGTTTTGTGGGCCCTTGATACCGAAAAATCAATTGACTGCAAAACCATCTGACTACCTCGCTCACGGTCAATGCTAGCGCCATCATTCTGTCAATTTTCTTCAAAATTTATAATATACAATCATTTTAAAGGAATTCGAGCTGCTGAGAGGTTGAAACAAATTCTCAAAATTTTCTTAAAAACAACTCCAAATTTGTTGATTGGGTTGTTCTGTGTTAGAGTAAAACTCACTTAAGTGAGTGACATGGGTCTCATTTTGGTTGCAAAAATTGAAAAAGTTCAATTTTTTGTCAGTGTCTTCCTGCAACTACAATATTGAACATACAGACGTTTTCCTTAATGAAATCTGTTCTTTAAAGACATCCTGAAATTAGGTCATGTACAGTTTTTCCTAAGTATGAATAGTTTTTGCATAATTTTGTGTGAAATTCAGGCAATTTTTAAACATTAATTTTCGGAAAAACAACTTCAAAATTTTGTCTTTAAATTTTCTCCTCT